CCGACACGACCATGGAGTGACCTACATAACCACGCCGACACGGCGTTCAGGAACCTGTGTAAGGAATCATTCAGAATCTTGTACACCACATATGTAAGACCAATCCTGGAGTATGCGGCCCCAGCATGGAGCCCGTACCTTGTCAAGCACAAGACGAAGCTGGAAAAAGTCCAAAGGTATGCCACTAGACTAGTCCCAGAACTAAGAGGCATGAGTTACGAGGAAAGGCTGCGGGAAATGCACCTTACGACACTGGAAGACAGAAGAGTAAGGGGAGACATGATCACAACCTACAAAATCCTCAGAGGAATCGACCGGGTAAACAAAGATAAACTATTCAACACTGGTGGGACGCGAACAAGGGGACACAGGTGGAAACTGAGTACTCACATGAGCCACAGAGACGTTAGAAGGAACTTTTTTAGTGTCAGAGTAGTTAACGGATGGAATGCATTAGGCAGTGATGTGGTGGAGGCTGACTCCATACACAGTTTTAAATGTAGATATGATAGAGCCCAGTAGGCTCAGGAATCTGTACACCAGTTGATTGACAGTTGAGAGGCGGGACCAAAGAGCCAAAGCTCAACCCCCGCAAGCACAAATAGGTGAGTACAAATAGGTGAGTACGGCCACAGAACAGCGAACAACCATGTTTCCTCCTAACTACAGTACCAGTTTCCACCACGCTCTCGCTGAGTGCTGACTCACCCATCACTAGAAAGTGTATACGGGCTCACCATAGCCCGTGCTACTTGGAACTTTGTTCCAGGTAGCGAATCTTTACCAACAACAAAACCATCACTCTGGGAGCCAGAGTGCACGCTACACAACGTGCACTCTCACCAGCTAAATACATAAAAAGTTAACCTACATACTCACAGTGGAAAGCCTAACCCAGGTTCGGTTCAGTTAAAATTAACAGTAACAAATAAATGTTAACATAACGTCAATAATAATGTTAATAATTTGAATTCAAATAATTTAAGAAATGTATTATGAGGCTTGTAGGGGTTGGTGATTAATTCTAGTTGGACATAGAAGCCATCAATTCACGTATAACAACACTACTGAGAATTCCAGCTTTGTATACATGCTCAAATATACAGAAAACAGGGACAGGAACATTACGCAATTTAATTTTATTTTGTCCGTGATGTCGAATATATTGATGTCAATCATCTTGTGAAGCAACACACCGGCATGGCAACATAATAATAATAATAATAATAATAATAATAATAATAATAATAATAATAATAATAATTTATAATAAACAGTATGAGAGAGAGAAACTATAAAATTTGCCAAAGAATATTAACAGTACTTATCATAAAGTTGCAGATTTGTTTTATGTTGCACACATCAAGTACAATACCAGCAACTGGAAACAACTCCACTATCATATCTGTTGCTTGTCGTCAGACGCAGCTGGGGTTCACATGACTGTCTCAAGCAAGTGGGTGAACAATGGTATTCTAACACCCACGACCCCACAAGGCTAGGCTATCTTACCGGTGTGTCAGTAGGGGAGCCGTCTGAAGCAGGTGTTTATATTTAAGAAAGTGTCTTCCTGCTTGAAATAATGTGGGGGCTTTCTCTATGCACTTGTTGAGATGCTTCTCAGCGGTGTGCAGCTCTCATGCAGCGTCTTGGGCAATGATCTTTCATTATACATTGTATGCCTTCTCTACTCGACTGTAGTCTAACGTAGAAATTTACTAATACTTCATCCAAAACTACATATTACCCGAAATCTTAGTAAAGTATATTTAGCTGTTAGGATAAAACTACAACTATTATTATGCCCATTCACATCTAGAAGTTTTGCAAACATACACTTCAGTATTATCATATATATGCACACTACTTATCAACTCTGCAATGCAACCCTTAGCCTATGCGTGCAAATTAGCATATATTTCTATTTTGTATATATATATTTCGCTATGTGTAACCCGTACAAATGCATGGCTGCATCAGTGAATCTCTTTCGTGTATCTTATTATAAAACACCCCCCCCCCAGCTCACTCTGCCCCCGTCTAGATAACGTCAACAAAGGCAGCCAGAGTGAGATCCACAACGAACAATGGTGAAGGAATGCACGCACTAACTCATCCTCGGAGGGAGGGCATGGGAGAGGGGAGGATGACTGGGGTGGGGAGAGATGTAAGGGGGAGATAGGAAGGGAGGGATGATAATGAATGAATGATTCAGTATCATTGCCAGGTGTCAGCACATAGTCACTGGCTCGTGAAGCCAGCTAAAAGGGAGACAGGAAAAGGTGGAGAGAGGATAGACTGGGGAATAGGAGAGAAAATAAAAGTGTAAGGGAAGAGATTAAAGGAAAGGGAAGATATGTAGCAGGGACAGAGGAGGAAGAGAAAGCTTTCAACCACTTGTCAAAGATTTTTGTTTTTATTCTACTTTATTGTTTTTCATCACTTCGCTATTTCTTCATCCTTTACAATACCCTATCCTTTATCTCACTTTTATTTAATCGTTTAACATCGGTACACAATTGGTTAACTTTCCCGACTCACAAGCGTGAAACTCAGGCGGAACAGAAATAATTGTGCATGTTTCCTTTCACCTAATGCCTCTGTTAACCATAGCCCGTGCTACATAGAAATTTTGTTCCAGCAGCTGAATCTAAAACAACAACAACAAATCCCATGTTAACCCAACAATAAATAAGTTAGGTAAACAGAGGCGGGAGGACCTTCATAAACATAATAGTACTGTCTTTCATAAACAATATAACTAACTACAGTAGTATAATTAGGCTACTAAATATATATATATATACCCTTCTAACATGCTGATCCTTTCCACCGCCGCCCACTCAATATATCTTCTTGATGGGTCCTACGTGCAGTTTGCATGAAGGGTTTATCCTCTGGATGACTGCACGAGTGCTAATGATGGGAGTCGCGTCACCGAGGGGCGGCTGTGTTGAGAATGACAAGGCTGGGAGGGCTTTGTTGTCTTTTGCTGTCGATACAGGAGCCGCTCCACCGAGACTCCGTGCACTGCAGCCCGGAATGCTGTGTTGTTTATGGCGTCAGTTGCTCGTTGGTGCTGTGGCGAGGCATTTTATTTTTATTATATATATTATATAATGTGTGTGTGTGTATATATATATATATTTATATATTTAATGTGTGTGTACACGAGAGGTTGTGGCAGGCGTGTGGTCGACTGCAGATATTTAGCCAGTGTTTTGACTATTTCAGATTTTATATGTAATGAGAAGTCACCTCCTCCAAATATATGCTCGATGTTAAACGGTATTTTTAAAGGCGATAAGTACTTGTTTGAAATTTACTCTGGCACGTTGAGGTCGAAAAGAGTGAATGTAGAGTTCGCTTATGTCTGTTCTGTATTTACAGCTGTGTGCTGGGCATTGTCGATTTCTCTGGTGTTATACCTGACATGTTTCCAAGTTTCCCATTTTTTATGAGAAATTATTTATTTTTTATTTACCTATAGTATAAAGACGAGCCTGACATTTTCCATCTCGTTACAAAATCTTGGGTGATGGTAATTTTAAAGGCTCCCTTACGTGCAACATGAGGAATTGGATGACGGGTAATGTAAGGCGTGTTGTGCATGAACCTGTAGGTCTACTGGTTCATTATGAAGTCTACCACAATGCGTTGGGACCCATTGGAAAGACATGTCATAACCTTTCAATTGACGTTCAGGAGAAATTGAAGGTAGACAAACTCTTTGCACGTTGTGGAAGAGTACGCAATTGCTCGAATCGCACTCTTGGAGTCACTACAGAACGTATATATCCTAACTGGTACTGTTGTGATTATTTGTAGAGCTTGATAGAAGGCATATAATTCAGCTCTGAAAACGGATAATCGGTTTGGTAACCACCATCCCTGCTAGAGATGATATAACCGACAATATTTATTGATTTAAAAATGTATTTAATTAACACAAATCTGATTTGTTGAGCTTGAAGAACTTTGTGGTCGAGTTTAAAAACTCCCTGTGATCTGTAGCCCTTGTACCCACCGGATGGTTATATATGAAGCTTATTAACACATCCTGTGAGCAATACTTGATTGTGTGCCACTGTACCCCCATATACTCATCCTGTGAGCGATAGTTTATTGTTCATCCCGTACTCATCCTGTGAGTGATAGTTTACTGTGCATCCCATACTCATCCTGTGAGCGGTAGTTTATTGTGCATCCCATACTCATCCTGTGAGAGATAGTTTATTGTGCATCCCATACTCATCCTGTGAGCGATAGTTTATTGTGTATCCCATACTCATCCTGTGAGCGGTGGTTTATTGTGGCAGAGTATACTACAGTATATTTTAATAATCGACCGAAGTTGAGAATGTATTTATTATTATTATCTACCTGGATGGAGTAGAAGGCTCGCTTAATGCAGGTCGGCGTTCAATCCCCGACCGTCCAAGTGGTTGGGCACCATTCCTTCCCCCCGTCTCATCCCAAATCCTTATCCTGACCCCTTCCCAATGCTATATAGTCATATTAGCTTGGCGCTTTCCCCTGATAATTTTTTTTTTTAATTCTCCAAGCCTAGCCCGGGGAAAGGCTTGACTTGTGAGAGCATGGTTCGTCTTAAAGCTCTGCGAAGTGCTTTACCGCAGGTTTAGCTGGTTCAGAAACATACTCACTCAGCAATTTATACAGCTCTGTGTTTCTTCATGACTTTACACTTTTTCATTATTCCGAGAGGAAAAAAAGAAGTGGGGTTTACCGGCGCTTTCCACGTACGTCCGGCGGTGAATACCGCAATTGGCAACTTTTCACGAGGCATCCCATATTTCCGTTATTTTGGTCTATATTAAGGTTAGAATTATATCGCATATATACTTAGCTTATGCTGAATGAACAGAAAACAAGCAGTGATGTCTGCAGCTACGCACAGTGCGAGGGAAATAATGGATAAAACGGCGAAAGTTGTGAAGAGGGCGGCGTGTGGAGGGTGACGGCGCCAACCCGTGCCGGTCCAGGCCGCTGGCTTCTCATTCCTGTGTGGCCGCTCGTCCCCTCCTGTCACACCTGCTCCCGCTCCTCCACACCTTCCTCAGCTACTACGCCAAGTTAAACATGGTTAACTTAGGCGATGTGTTCCCCAACTTCACGGCGGAGTCGTCGGTGGGCACCATCAAGCTGCACACCTACCTGGGCGACTCGTAAGTCTTATAATACTGGTTGACGCGCGGCGCTAACCTGCAGGAAGTGTCATTGACGTGGAGCGGTACCTGCTTCCTCCTGGCGGCGGCCGCCCTTCACAATGTCACCTAATTACGTAGTGTTGTGTGAGGTGTTGCAGGACACGTCTTGACTACCTCGGGTGTACCGCCCCTCGCACGCCACCACTTTCTGCACTTGTAGAAAGACTTTCTTGTAGTCTCGGGTCTGTTCTCGACTCTTGTCTGGAATTCCGGGTGCGACTCCCGGCCGGAATAGAAGTACTCACCTAGTTGTGCTTGCCTGGGGGTTGAGCTTCGGCTCTTTGGTTCCGGTTCTGAACTGTCGACAATTGGTGTACTGATTCCTGAGCCTATTGGGCTCTTATATCCACATACGAAGCTGTGTATGGAGTCTACATCCACCACATCACTTCATAATGTATTCAGTTTAACTGACACTGAAAAAAAAGAGTTGCTTCTAATATGTCTGTGGTTCATTTGAATATGGTTTCCACCTGTCTCCAGTATGTGTACCACCTGTTACTCTTTATCTGCTATATTAATTCCTCTTGAGAATCGTGTGTGGTGAGCATGTCTCAAAACTTTTTGTTAAGTAGTTATGTACTTAATCCAAACAACTTTATCATTGTGTTCATTGCTGTCTTTTATGTGCTAGCCATATGCTGTTTTGTGCCTTTTATTTTTGCTAAATTACCATTCAAGCTGTCATTGCAATCATTCTGAGCTACCTATGTGCTTTAATATACCTACAATTTTCTTTCATCTTTTATTTTTTTCTTGCTATGTAACTTTTATCATTTATCATTAGACTATTACATCATTATCATTAGATTATCTGTTAGATTAAGGACCTGCCCGAAATGCTGCGCGTACTAGTGGCCTTACAAGATTGTAAATACTATGCTATGTATTCTCTCAAACCCAATGTACCTTCTTGTGTATAAATCAATAAATAAAAAAAAAATATTTATCTTCCAGTGATATGAGGTTCAGTTCTAGCACTCCTCGAAGCTCATACTACTCGGCTTGGGTACCTGTCTGGTGGTATAACTTTAAACCTTCTCCAATTTAGTCTTGGTACTAAATCTTGATCACAAAGTACGCAATTGGTAATTGCCTATCAGTGTAGAAGTGGTTGGGTGCATTTCCTATCACCTAATGCATCTGTTCACCTAGTTGTAAGTAGAGTACCAGGAGTTAGCTTTTGGTATTACATTCTGGGAAGGGTCAGCAGTTCCAAATTTTTGGGAAACTTAAATAATTACAGGTACTTAATTAAAATTTACCCAAGGGTTGTTAGTGCACTAGTAGCCTTGACGAGGATAGGAAGCTGGCGGCTTGTGAAGGGTCCTCCCAAATACATGTATATACACTGGCTTTCTGTCCCTGTCAAATGGAATTATTAGTTTATAAATGCTGGAGGTGTGGTTGGTGCATGAATTTTTTGGCACTTGGCTATCAGTGACTAGGGAAAAGTGAGGTGGCTTCCACTTTTCTGCATTCTTCCTGTTGCTCACCAGTTCAGGGTACGAGTATTTACTTGTATTTTAACTTGTTTCCAAGTTACTATTGTTACCTTTCGTCGTCCTTTCAATGAGAGGCTGTAGAGCAGTCATCAGGAGAATATTGACACAAACTGCACCTGCCATAAAGGTGAAGGGGAAAAAAGCTGTCCTTGCCTATTCCTCTTTGTTACCATTTTCCTTTTAAAGGTTATTACATGGTGCTTTTAACTTCACTGGAAGTTAGATTATTAACTGAAATAAGCCTACATTGTTGGGATCATGTGCAATACAATGAATGCATAGTAACTAGGTGAAACATCATTGTAAAGGAAAAATGTATTGGGTTTAAATTTAGCTCTTCTGCTGTTATTTTAGCTGACGAGATGCTTCCACAAAAGCATAATTGAGGTCTTATATTAGGCAAATTTTAATTGGCCCCCCCCCCAATCACTTTGAGATTCCAACAGAATCTCTAACCTCGTATAGGCTCTGGATTTTGACATTCTATTTCTTGTCTTAATTCTTAATGCAGGAATCTGTAAAGATTTGTTACTGTAGTGGGCTACCAGAGTATAGACCAGTCTTAAAGTTTATTTTATGCAAGTTTCAACCTGAAATGTAATTTGCAGTAGGCACAATGATCAATGTTAATGTGATCAGTAACATTGACACAGTGGGCACAGTGATTAATCAATGTTACTGTTGGTAGGACTTGTCTTCAAAATCAGTGACAAGATTCCATTGGTGGCAGGTTCAGTAAGTATTATGGGTGAATAGTAAAGCACAGAGGAAGGTTGTTAAAGAGATAGCAGTAAAAGTTTATTCACCATTACAGTACTGTACATCTATTAAAATATTAAGTTTGATTAAAACAAAAGGAAATAGTAGTCTCCCTTACCAATAGACATACTGTAGTTTAACAAAACCCTGAGCTTGATGTTAGTTTTATTGGCAATGACAAGTCTGACAATACACAACAGCAGATGCAGAATTGATTCCCTAGGCCTAGATTAGAGCAGTGAAATGTCTAAAGAAAAGTTTGTACTGGTATAAATGGATCTCTCTGGTAACTTCAACAGATGGGGCATAGTATTTGCTCACCCTGCTGACTTCACCCCAGTATGTACCACTGAGTTGGGATGTGTGGCAAAGTTGGTACCAGAGTTCACGAAGAGAAATGTGAAATTGCTGGCAATATCATGTGACTCTGTTGAGGACCATGTTGGCTGGATAAAGGTAAGATTACCATTTTTATCAAATTGCTTTGTTATATAATGTTCAGTACTGTGTACATTTTCCTTCCATGGATAGGGTTAGAGAACTTGTATTTTTTTGTTTTTTTGCCATTCATCCACAGAAGATAGCATTTTGATAATTGTTATAATTATAATTAATAACTTGAATCTAGGCTAAAGTGTTAAACTGCCATGAGTTATATTATTGCTGGACAGTTATATATTGCATATTTAGTGGCAGTTTGTACCAAAAAAAAATCCATAGACTATTACATGTGGTAAATATTTTATATGCCACTAATTGCACTGTACAGTATTTCAGAAAGTTTAAGATTGTGAGGGGCTTTAATACTACATTGTTGGGGTAATACTTGGAGTGTAGTGGTATGGGTTATATAGAGAAGGGAGTGGGTAAGTAGAGATGTGAGAATAATGTCAGGGTCGGGTGGTCTTGACAAAAGCTAAAGGAAGAAGGTTGAGGGGAAAGTTATAGGGATTGTTATATACGTAAAATGTGTGCCTATGCCTTTCATAGTCACAATATTGTATGTTTAAATTACTTGAACAAGTTAGCTTACCGAGTTAGTATTAAGCATTTACTTATCCCTATTAAACCTATCAATAATTTAACTATTAACTGAAGTTTTGCCCAAAATGCTTTGCATATTAGTGGCTGTATTAAATGTGTACCTGTGTAACCAATAAGCAACCACTGTATCATGTTCTGTAGATTAAGCTTTTAGTCAAAAAACTTTCAGTGAACTAGTTATTACAGTACAATAGCATTTAATCATGTCTATTAAGCATACAACTTTTGCTCTCCATTAGTAAATAATATTGTTTACAGTTTTTAAGTGATCCTATTGGATTATATTAGTTCTAAGATATAGTAACTATTTTGCAATTCCTGTAAATTATATTCTATAATGTACTTTTGGTTTTTATACATATACACAAGTTCTTAGTCTTGTACACTAGCATTCCTAGGTTCCCTGGAATACGACCCCGCTAAATGGTTTAACAACCAGGTACCCATTTTACTGTTGGGTAAACAGACTACAGTTAAGGATTGACGCCCAGTAAATCCTCCCTGGCCAGGATATGAACCCAGGACAAAGCGCTTGTGAAACGGCAGCGAGTGTCTTAACGCTACATCACGGACACTGCATGATTAGTTGCCTATAATTATTAATATGCCATCTTAATATGAAAGCCAAAAAATCTCTGGAATACATTAGTGTTTATGATCCATAATGTTAACGTGCATGTGCCACACATTAGTAGTTCTGGGAGGTGGGGGGGGGGGTTTTGGCATTTGTCATGTGTACAAATAGTATTAACCTGAAGGAGGAGCACTAAATTGGGTAAACTTTAGACAGATGGTTGCGGTTTTTTTAGAACTTGTCAAATCTTTTATGTAATTGGCTGATGTGACCTAGCATTTAAACTCTACAAAAATTTACTTTGCATTATTTAACTATCAGTGAGTAACATGAGCTTTATCCAATCATATACAATTTGCCTTTTGTTTTGCAGGATATTCAAGCCTACAGTGAGCTAAGTGGTGAATTTCCTTACCCAATTATTGGTGACAAGGATAGGGATCTTGCAGTAACCCTTGGTATGATAGACCCAGATGAGAAGAATGCTGAAGGTTTACCCCTTTCATGCCGTGCTGTTTTTCTCATTGGACCAGACAAGAGGCTCAAGCTCTCCCTTCTGTATCCTGCTACTACTGGACGCAATTTTAAGTAAGTGTTGTACTGTAAAATCCTTTGGTGTTTTGAATACTTTTATACTGTACATGCATTTGTGTTTCCAATTTCGAATACTGCTTAATTTGTTCATCTACATTCCACATAGGTGGCACATGACTTATGGTTGTTCATTGGGGGGGGGGGGAACTAGGATGCTAAGACATTAATTTTCACAGCTTTACAATACAAATCTTGGATATTGATAAAATACAGTACTGTACGTATATTGTATAACGTGTCGGTGAAACTTTTAGTGGAAACTGGCTGTAAGGTCTTTGAAAAATGTATTGTACTCTACTATAATCTTTCAATGCCACCAGACAAACCATATGATTACCCGTTTTAAAGATTTGTCATGGTAAAAATTCAGTAAAAGTAGATTTGTGTAGTATAGTACTCAATGTAAGTAGTGCTGATCTTTTTAAAAGGTAGTTAACTCATTGTTGGACAGGAAACTTGTAACCACATGGCTTCAAAAGCACATTAGAGGCGCAGTACAGACTGTGGGTTGCCTGTATAGCACAAAGAAATTGTGATGGTAGATTAACGTTGCAAGTCAAAGGTTACGGCTAAAGGTTGAAGGAAATTTTTATTTTTAATGGGAATTAGTGGTCATGGAAAAAAATCATTCTTGGAACATTCACAAATTAGAGATTATTAAATTACATAAAAGAATGTTGAAATAAATCCAACACCTTGAGCCAATTTGACAAATTTAATAAATAACTACACGTTTTCAATTGCCTCACAAAATTACAGTACTAAAATTTATCTTGTTTACCGCCTAGTCAACAGTACTAAATAAGTAACTATTCTACAGTACAGTATTTCAACAGATATATGGCTTCATAAACTGAAGCTCCCAAAAGTATTTAAAGTGATTTTTGCAAAAAAGTGCACTCATTTCATGTACAGTACTGTACTGTATTGTTAATGTACACACCTGCTGAGAAATGACATCCAGCATGTCCTTCAGCCTTTCAGCACTTGTTGCAATAAATTATAAATATTTTTTAATTTTATGAATTCTGATCTACCAGCTAGTTGTCCTTTTTATGGGAGCAATGGGATCTTGAGCTGATGCATTGTATTTTCCAGCAAGTGTAGAGTTTGACATGCTTGGCTGAAAATTACTTTTGCAAAGCTCCCAGGTGCACTGTACTTGGTTTTCCATCCTAACTTAATAACTTTGCTGCTCAAATTGTGCACAATTTGAGGGTGCCATACCCTTTATTTAGGGTGCTACTTAAGATTGCAATATGCTTTTTGAATTGGATAAAATATTTAATTAAAAGTACTAGACTACTGTGCATTTCTTGTTTTGGTCTAAATAAAATTGCAGATACAGTAAACTATTTTAAATGTGCTTATTAGACAATTTTGTTGGCTTCGGTTATATATGGAGGAAGGTATATGCACATGGATAAATACCCATGTTTTGCTTAGTTCTGTTCAAATTTTTCAACATTAGATACAGGGTATTTATAATCTGCATTAAACATTTCAGCGAGATTCTTAGAGCTATAGACTCCATTCAACTGACGGCTGCAAAGAAGGTAGCAACACCTGTTGATTGGAAGCCAGGTAGTGCTTGCATGGTGCTACCCTCAGTTTCTGCAGAAGAGGCAAAATCCCTTTTCCCAGAGCACACGGTCCACAACGTTCCTTCTGGAAAAGAGTATATTCGCACAACGCCACAACCAGAGTAAAATGAGCTACGTTCTCACCTTGGCTACCTGTATGCAGCCAGACGGTACAATATATCCAGATTTAATTACAAACTTTATTTTCTTAGTTTAAAAAGGAATTGTGCAGTAATGAGTAACCTTACTGCTTGTTAACACTTTTTAGTTCTAAAAATTGCTTAGTAGAAGCCATAGGATTATAATGGTTTGTTAAAAACATTGATGCTGGGCCTACTGTATTTTCAAGTTTTGTAAAATTCCTGCTGATATTTTAACTAATTATTCTGTTAATGCAAAGTGCCTTTCTCAAGTGTTCCATTCCACTTTATACAATATACTCTGAAATAAACATGGCAAAAGTATTGTACTTTTCATAAACCTGTCAACTTTTAAAATGGCATAACTGTTTTTAGTGTGATTAATTTCAGTTTGAAAGAGGAAGACATGTGTAGAAAAGGTAGTCATGTCTGAGCACTTAATTTCTTCTGTGTATGGAATAGGTGTGCAAAATGCAGTTACTCAGCCTGCTAGGAACAGTGAGTTTATACTTTCTACTAAAGTGCCAGAAGCCTAGTAAATAAATTTGGTGTATTGTGTGCATATACAGAGGTTGAGAATGCAGAGATCATTGGGATTAGCTAAATGTGGGGATGGGAAGATGAAGGGAAATTTCATATGCCAGGATACCATCCACCCTTGGGAAGACAGAGTAGGTGGTGTGATACTATATAAAAGACTTTACCAGTAATGAGGAATTATAAACAATGGGATCCTTGGATTTGGTGTGGCAACAAGTAGAGTACTGTACTACTGTATCTCAAACAGCTGACAGTGGGTGTGTGCTACAAAGCACAGATCAACATCAGGGACTTAGATCTGCATAGTGATAAATGCTAAAGCTCTAGCTTTTATAATGTGGAGCTTTATGTATGAAAATGGTGACCATTATAACAATTGGAAGAGGAAAATTTCTGGGCCTAGTAAGATTTTTCTCATACAGCATATGACAGCCCACCAGAGGTAATGACATTCTAGAGCTTGGGCTATCAGAGGGCATTATAGACGTAAATCCAGGTCGACCCATCTTCAGACGTAAGTCCATTCTATCCAGCAGTCGGCAAGGTAACGAGTGAATTTTACACAATGACCAAGTTCCTAAATAGTGAGTCTTTCAGACATGTCCTTCGGAACAAGAGTTTGGACCTGGAACTTGTTTGGCAGCAAGGGAAAAGGAAGATTGCTTCATGCATAGTACAATACAGTATCTAAAACATAATTTGTATTGTTCATGACTCGTATTTTGTGTGCTGTAATTAATGACAATATAAATAGCATTTTTTTAATAGATAAAACGAGAAACATGAAGAGCACAACTTGGTGTAGGAGGTATTAATGGGAAATGTCTGGCTAAACATTATATAGGATTCCATGATATGCTAACAAAACAAATTTGATACTGTGCTGAGAACACTTATGGCTTGGTATCAAACCACTCGGACAATTTATATTGTACATCAGTGAAGATTCGAAAGCATTTATTTTTACTGGCAATTTTTTAAGGTAAACATTTGTATTGACTTTTCAGGATACATTAGGAAGTTGCATTACAGTTGGAAGTTACATTACAGTTGGAAAATTATAAAGTTAAAATATATTTTCTTTTCAGATAAAAACAATTGAGGCTAGATTTTGAATGTCAAAATATTTATAGTTCCTAAGTTTGAAAATGTAGTAATGGATATACTGTACTATAGTAAATATATATACAATACAGTAATTGCTCTGGTAATGGCCCTGGTGTATTTTTAGTTCTAAAGCATGAGGGGTATTTTAGTTGTTTGTTAATTTTTGTTTCGGAGCTGCAGCTATTTTTAGTTTCATGGCCCTGTTGAGATCCCTTGCACGCTCTTGGTCAATAAGTTCCAAGTCTCTGAGCTTGAGAGCCAGTTGAGCAGCTATGAGATGCCGAAACTTTCCTCCTTCTCCCAAGGCTTCCATGGCCTCGAGCCAGTGCACACGTTCCTCCATTTCGCTGACCACTGGCAAAGATAAATTTGTGCAGTTAATTTCTACTTTAAATATGTACTGTAGTTTAAATGATCGAGTGCAATTTAAATATTTTAGGTTTGTAAGTAAATTATTGGCAGCCCTATTTAACTCAAACATTTTGTAATGTAAACCAATGAACAAGGAATGGAATGATGTATTTTGTTTAAAGAGAGTATATTGTATGACTTGACTGCATTCAGCAAAGTTTTCCTTAGTGCTCATTAGTGGCATAAATTTAATCTTCCTGCTGCCCCAAAAAGAAACTTCATAAATATTGTACAAAACCAATTTGCTAATGAATAAGCACTAAGAAGTTATATAAGACACCTTCATTACAATAATAAATAATATAATGGCTCTAAAAAGTAGAATGTCTGTCAGATTGGAGGCAGATGCTTGAGGGTAGCCTTGCTCAACTTTCAAAAGATGACACACATGGGTGGTATAGCTAATAATAATTCATTGTGATGGGGGGACAGGCATCCCGAGTGTGCTTACACACGTTTGGCTTATTTCGAGGTCTTCCCTCCCCTGAGAGCGAATTACAGACCCACCCCAGGATGCAATCTCACAAGAAGCTAACTCCTGGGTACCTACTTGCTGCTAGATGAACAGGAGCATTAGTTGACAAGACATGCAATCAATCATTTATGTCCTGGCCAAGATTCGAACCCGAAATTCTTGATTGCGAGTCGAGAATAAACCCAACTGTACTACTGGGACTTTGCGAGTGTTTTGGGGCATTTGGGGTTGGCCCAGATGGGGATGGACCGAAGAGACCCAGGCACAGCCGAGTACCTTATGTAGTCTCTATATAAAATTGAATGCCTGTCGGTGTGTGTGAGGTTGGAAGTCAGGCGCTTGGGGGCTAGCCTCATGCAACTGTGCATTGTAATTGGTATAGTTTTGAGAGTCAGAGGGGGTTGGTGTCAAGCCCCGTGCCCCTCCTTAAGAAGGATCAACCCCTATTGAAGTCTGAAATTGTTTTGTTTTTCAGGATGTTTCTTGTCAGTTTTTCAGTTGGATATAATACTGTATTGCATGTTCTGAGAGAGGAATATTGGAAGGAGATAAAGGCATTGTTGGGTATCCTATTCAATAGGCTCTTAAAACAAAATTATTTACAATATACAGTACTATATATATACAGTATTGAAGACTACTTACGTTCAGTAAAGCGATCAGTCTCGCTAGGGAGGGAATAAACCTGGGTCTTCCTCCCTGGAGTTGGATGGGTAGTAACACCCTCTTTGCCAAATGCCATCAATTCCTGGCACCTCTCCTTGGACTCGGGGCCATATTCTATCACACAAACAGAATGTTATCTTGCAATGTAGTTTAATAAGAGCTACATACACAGTAACATTTTTGAAGAGTGGGTCTAGTATATGTAATTTGTACTCTAATGTTAGCTACTTGGTTATATGAAGTGATAGTGAATAAAATATCTACTTGTTTTCTATTTTCCATTTGCTAAGGACAAGAAGTCTGTTAGGCATATTAAATTACCCCTTAGTCAACAACTGACCTTTGCCTAGTACACAAACCTCAAGTGTCTACACATAGCAGGTACTATACTTTTGATTGTTTTCAAAATGAACATTCACAAGCAACTTGCCCTCTCCTTCAAACAAACACAGGATCAATCAGTTGTGAGCCCACTGTGCCACAAGTCTTTTTAATATACAAATATTTTCATCATTGCAGTTATATTGAAATAAAAGTAATGCAAAAAAAAAGTAATTACCTAAATTACAGTTACAGGATGAGAGCTACTCTCGGGGTGTCCCGTCTTCCCAGTGTTTGGAAATTGATGCGTTTATACTTGCCTAACTAACACTCCTAAATTATACCTGGCAAAAATAAGTCCATGTTGAGAGCAAAGAATAGATATAGTAAGGCATGAAAGAAAAGTACTTTCAAATTTCTAGCCAAAATCTGGTCTAGACCGCAGAGAATTCTACTATGAACACTAATTTAAATGGCATGAACACGTAAAAGAAGTTGAAACTGCCTTGTATGTGCCTGAAAGTTAAGATTTTGTTCATCTACATAAATTTAAATGCATTATCACTAATCAGTACTTTGTAATCATATGAAATTAAAATAATTTAATTTACATAGTAATTCACTACTGTACTATGAAAGTAAACAATGTAATACTATTTTTTATGAATACAAATTCTTGTTATTTTCATTTTAGAGGGAAACAGACTAATTAGGAGTGGATGGAAATTGGTTCAAAATGGTTGAGGAGTTAACTGATGAACTGTTTCTCACTAACACACTTTATTCAGAATTTCCAGACTAAAGCTTGTGCATTTGCACCCGGAGGCTGCAAATGCACAAATATCAAGACTGGAATGGGTATAGCAATGAGGCAGAATGAATGAAAGAGGCGGGGGAATGAAATATGAAGCGAGTTAAGCGCAATGCTCCGATGTGTTACGGACATGGTAGCAGGCTCATTTAACAATATGGGTGCACATAATAGGACCATATGGTGAAGGGAGACACACAATATTGTGGAAGGAGCGAGCTGACCAATATGGTTACCCATTGACAGAGACAGGAAGCCCGCTAGGTGTGCTGAGGTTCCTGAAGACCAATGACTGACTTTCTCAATGATTCGTTCATGTTAGGCTTGCAGTTAGACAACTGGTTGGGCTCCGGTTACACAACTTGTCGGGTTCCGATTGCATTACTCCGGGGGTGTGACTAGTTGGGCTTTTGAGTTGTGCATGGTTGTGCTCCGGTTCGTACATGGTTGTGCTCCTGTTCGTACATGGTTGTGCTCCAGTGGTTGTTTGTGTACTAGTGCTCCAGGTTTGTTTGCTAGGGCTTTGTTTCTTTGCAAGGGCTTTATGTTTGTTTGCTAGAAATTTGGGTTTCTTTTTTTGTGTATAGTTCAATTGTTTGATATGGCTCCATAGTGTGTTTCTAGGACAAGTGGAGGGTTTTAGGTAGCTCTAAGCAGATTTTTGTTTGGTCGAGCTAGGAATGGAGTTTGGTTGTGCTCTGGGACTGTTTAGCTTTATGGGGGTTGGATGAGATGTATACTTGCTAGGCTTACGGTTACACAACTGGTCGGGGTCTGGTTACACAACTGGTCAAGCTTCGGTTACACAACTGGTCGGGCTCCGGTTAAATAACTGGTCGGGCTCCGGTTAAATAACTGGTCGGGCTCCGGGGGTGTCACTTGGGCTATGGGTTGTGCATGGTCGGGCTTCCGTCCGTGCATGGTTGTGATCCAGAGGTTGTTTGTGCACTAGTGCTCCAGGTTTGTTTGCTAAGGCTTTGTTTATATGTTTGCTAGAAATCCGGGTTTCTTTCTTTTGTATATAGTTCAATTGTGTGCTATGGGTCAATAGTTGGTGTCCAGGGCAAGTGGAGGATTTTTGGTAGGGCTAAGCAGATTTTTGTTTGGTCGAGCTAGGAATGGAGTTTGGTTGTGTTCAGCTGGGACTGTTTAGCTTTGTGGGGGTTGGATGAGATGTATACTTGCTAGGCTTAAGGTTACACAACTGGTCGGGGTCCGGTTACACAACTAGTGGGGCTCAGGGTTACACAACTGGTCGGGCTCCGGTTAATAACTGGTCGGGCTCCGGTTAAATAACTGGTGGGGCTCCGGTTACACAACTTGTCAGGTTCCGATTGCATTACTCCGGGGGTGTGACTTGTTGGACTTTGAGTTGTACATGGTTGTGTAGGGTTCGGTGTTCAATGAACGAAAAGGACATGAGCAGTTTAAATTGCGAACGCATACCAACGAATAACGCTAGTATCTATATAACAAATTTATTGTCCTGTGGAGTTGATTTAACTTCCAGACACGTTTTGTTTAATAAATATTAAAGATTTAATGGCTGTTTATGAAAGATATTATATAAATACACATTCTACTTCTTAATATCACCAATTAAATTTGCGACAATTTGAGCCATGAAATGCGACGACTGGATCACTGTGTTCAGGAGGCTGTTATGGCAGCAAACACTCTCCAGGCGACCATATATCTTGGATAAGTCGCTCCACACAATTGTCGCTTGGACCGTCGACTTCCTATGGCGTCACCTCTCACATATTTACGTCTCATTTCGTTATGAAATTAGATTATTTCAGAGTAAAAATAGGTTTGATCATGTTCTACGTGTAGCACCAACATTATAGTAAGTAAATATACCATATTTCTTCATTACTTACGTAATGCTAGGACGATTTGTGTAGTTTTGGGCCGATTTGGGTAATTCTATGGACCGCTCCCGGTCAATTTCCCGCCCTCCCTCTCAACTTCCCGCCCTCCCTCTCAACCTCCAGCCCTCCCACTCAACCTCCCGCCCTCCCTCTCAACCTCCCGCCCTCCCTCTCAACCTCCCGCCTTTCCTTTTAACTTCCAACCCTCCATCTCAACTTCCCACCCTCCTTCTCAACTCCCCACCCTCCATCACAACTTCCAATCCTCCGTCTCAACTTTCAACCCTTCCTCTCAACCTCCCATTAATCCCCTTATCCACTCGCCACCCCATGTCACTTACTGGGTGGTGGAGGAACATAATGTGTGTTGGGCTCATAGAGCCCCATTTTCTTTATAGCCTCATGGGAGCGCTTGGTCTGGATACATGGCCTTGGAGTCTGCCTGAAGGAGCTGCTGGAGGAAGAAGAGGAGGGTCGACGCTGACCTTGGGTAGGTTGTGAGGGGCCAGCCAAAGCCTCATGATGGGGAAGGGACCGGCCTCCACTCACCCACCGCTCTATGCGTCTCTGGTGTTGCAAGTTGACCGCCGCCTCCTGCAACAGCTCTGTTGAACCATGGAGAAGAGAATATATCTCCCATGCATTGAACATTTTTTTGTTTACTCACAGCCACAGGTCAAGTTACTCACACAAACAGGTAAACACAGCAATGACCTGCTACAATATTATATATATGGGAAATTATATAGATCAAGATCTAGCTTTAAGTTCAACTAATACCCCTAATTCACAAGATGGTTAGTCAGCAGGGTTGTTGTTGTTGTTTTAGATTCAGCTACTTGGAACATAAAGTTCTAAGTAGCACGGGCTATGGCGAGCCCGAAAGTCAGCAGGGAGTCAGGAGAACACTGGGGATACAAGTTTAGTCTACTAGCTTGCACTAGCAAACTCTAGGGAAAGTACAAGAAAAACTCCTGATGCTTCTGTCCACCTAGCATTTAATAATTAACTGTGTCGGGGGACATGAATCCAGAGTGTATTCATACACGTTTGGCTTTTATCGAGGCCCTCCCACCCCTTACTCGGCCCAGAATGCAACCCCACAACAAGCTGACTAACTCCTGAGTACCTACTCACTGCTAGGTGAACACAAGCATTAGGTGAAAGGAAATAAGACCAAACATTTCTGTCCCGCCCAGGATTCGAATCCGGAATTTCTCGATTGTGCGTCGAGAAAGAACCCGGCTGTACTATACCGGGACCATTAATGGGGACTATTTGATAGGGACCTGGAAACTAAGCAACTGTAACGGGTCGCATCCTGGGAAACATCCATCATCGGCCTCGATAAACCTAAACAGGCTTTCTGTTAATTGGAAACCTTGTTACAAGAGAACAGCATTCGTGAAATGCAATTAAGTCGAGGTTATACTTTTACAGAAGTGGATCTCTCCCTCTAAATTTAATTCTGATTTGCATACAGTTTATGTAATTTAAGAACATGAACATTATAAGGGTCACCTTTCAACAACAGCCTTGTTGATTCACTGTAAGACACTCTAGGAAGATCATAAATCCCTCCAGAAGCCACATTTTGACGTGAGACGGATGCCATGTTGTTTACACTCTCACCATGGCAACGAGCAGCAGCCTGTGATTGGTGGGAGACACCGCCTTCCGTCACGTGATTGGCTAACGGTCTTTGTTTTGGTATGCCTACATTTAGTTATGTCCTCTTAAACCTTGAAAATACTTGTTAATAATACCAGTCGTCTAATTTATGTTATATATAACAAATCCTATGAGTAAGATGAATCTCATGTTTCACACGATAAAAAATATATATTTAATAGACAGTGTATGTCAACCCGCGGGTGATACACACACAGGAGCTCAGGTTGTTGGAACATATGGCGTAGAATCGGCAGGTCACAAGAGAGAAATGTCATACAGACGCCGTTGTACATTTTAAAAGACATTTACCCTATTCTAAAAATCATCGCAATGAATTTAGGACCGAAAAACTCATATGGTAATGGCCTAGCATACGCTGGGTTCAACCAGGACCAAGGTGAGCGAATTAAGGGGCGGGGGGGAGGCACCAGGACCTGTAGGTTCTGTAACTTGGGACCACGAGACGCTCGTTAGCCATGCTGGTAGTCAATGACCTCACCATGACCCTCACTGCTTGTAGCTTATGTCTATGAGACGCTTGTTAACCATGCTAGTAGCCAACGACCTCAGCATGACCCTCACTGCTTGTGCTCGTGAGACGCTCATTAGCGATGCTAGTAGCCAGCTGCCTTCCCCATGACCGTCACTGCTTGTTGCTTGTGCCCAAGAGATGCTCCTAAGCAGTGCTAGTACCAGCGACACCTACCATGACCCTCACTGCTTGTAGCTTTTGTACTATGGCCATAGTATTGCTCATTAGCAATGCTATGGCCATCAACATCCCGCATGGCCTTCACTGCTTGTACCTTGTTTCCATGAGCTTGTTGCTTGTGTCCACATTCATTAAGCATGTTAGTAGCAGGTAACCTCCCAGTGGCCCTTATTGCTTGTAGCTTGTGAAAATGTGAAGCTTATTAATAATGCTAGTAACCAGTGACATCCCCAGTGGCCCCCCCCCCACTGCTTATAGCTTGTGTCCATAATATAGATGATCATTAGCCATACTTGTAGTAAGTGACTTTCTCCATGGCCGTCACTCTTTCTTGGTTCCACAAGACCCACATTAGCCGTATATTAGCCATTAGCTAATGACCTCCATGGACTTTACTACTTGGAACTTGTCTTCGTGAGATGAGCCATACATGTAGCCAGTGACTTTCTTCATGACCATCACTGCTTGTATCTTAATTCCATGAGACCCACATTAGACATGCTTGTGATCATTGATCTTCCCTATGGCTACTGTTGCTTATAGTTTATGTCAACAATGTGTTCATCAATGACATTACCACTGACACTGCTAGCTTCCTGCTCATGTCCACAAAATGCTCATTAGCCTCATGACCCACAAAAAAGCCATGCCAGTGGTAATGTGGCTCCCTTCATCAGAGCCACATTAAAGAGCCATCCCTTCCTCTTGCACAGACTGCCTGCAACATATGTGCACAAAATGCTCATTAACTATGTCAATACCTAAAGTCCCTCCACCCACTAGCTGTCATTAACAACCTCATGATCTCCAAGCCATCATGAGCTGTAAATTATAATGCTTACACTAGGGATGAATTCATTTTCTGATGTGTGGTTTGGACATAGTATCTTCAGCCAGTGTTATTGTGACTCATCATCTGCATAGGTATTTGAGCACTAGTTTCCATACTTAAATGAAATTTAAGTTTGCCTTCAATTTGCCTTAAATGCAAATACCTGTACATGAATTATGAGCAATAGAGGCTGTATCACCCATCTCAGCATGGAAGATATATAAATAGCATTTTCTTGTTGCTTCTGTATATCTACTAGTTACAATAATTTAAATTATTGTAACTAGTAGAGTATACTTCACCTGGTACCAAAGTCATCTCCAATATTAAATTATGACTGATAGTTGCCAATTTCTTGTGAAAATTGGCCTTGTGGCTCTCCTATTATGCTTACTGTGGTGTTCTATAGTCCACTTCAGGAGACATATTTGAAGATTATTTTTGTTTGCTGGCATGATTCTCGATGCCAAACACCAAATGGAAGTTAGTGCAGATTCACTTTAATAAATGTAGCATTATCCATCCTTGGTGTAATATGCTTATTCTGCCAAATAGCTTTTCTTCACTGGTAGATTATTGCAAGTGTTACAGTCTTAAGATGATATAAAAGTATTTTACAGAAGCCTGTTTGGAGAGCTTATTTTACATGTCAATATTGAGTTTAAAGCATCACTTAAATTTTAGTTTTAAGTATAGCTAGATAAGGCTGGGTACTTTATATTGTAATCAAAGAATAGTGTAAGGAAATTTTCCCACTCACCCCAAAAATTGTATTGCCTCTGATGATGAAGAATGGACTTAGCCACTGGAAAATGTCTTGTGTATCTTAATAATCAACCAAAGGCCAAATATATAATACCTAAGAATCCTTACAATGCCCAACACTACATACAACACTGGCTAACAGCTTTGAAGACAAAGCTAACTGGTAGTAAAGTATACATATAAAACTTTACTACTATTTGGCCCTTGGTGGTGGTGATTGGTGGTGTTGCTGAGAGCCATACACATGTAATCCAGAAATATTTTATGTAGTGTCAGAATTTGTTTGTATTGTATTTAATAACATATGTATAATGGGTCTGATAGTGGACAGTTTCACAGGAGTTGGCATACCAGTGATGCCATCAGGCTTTTATAAGCTTAGCTGTTGCTGAATGTATTGGTTAAGGACTCATACTATTTAGTTGTTATCAGAGTAGCCGGTGTTGGCAATTACAATACAGTACAGTACTTGGAAATGCTTGTTAAGTAAAAAAGTTATCTACATATAAAGTATTGTTTAGTGTATATTTACTAGCATACATTTGTTCTAGATCCATTTGTATGAAAATAGTATAAATGATGGACAGGAAATAAAGTTTTAGAATTGTGTAAATTTTCAATTTTTTCTCATCTTTCAGGATGTTTTGCATGTGGAATGGACACGGGATTTAGAGTTTACAATTGTGATCCTCTGAAGGAGAAAGAAAGGCAAGACTTCTCAGATGGAGGCATTGGCTATGTTGAGATGCTGTTTAGGTGTAACTATCTGGCCCTTGTTGGTGGTGGTTCACATCCCAAATATCCAACAAATAAGGGTAAGAGTCTTTAGTGATCTTTATAAATAATTATCTTATCATCTATGTAATTTTGTCCATTTTTATGTGTACAGGTATTAGTATGTGTTTGAACTTTGTATTTAATTTTGTATGTACCTTATTTTTAAATGTTGATGTTCAGTGTATCTGACTTTTTACATATGCTAATGTTATTTTTCAATTTTGCTGAACATCTGAGTATTAACAGAAATTGATAAATTTGAGATTCCTGTTACTTATAAGTTTATACTGAAGTATGTACTGCCTTGATCTCCAAATATTAGACATTACTGTCCAGTACTGTACTATTAATCCTTGTTACCAATATTATATATGAGTGGAATTGAGAAAATGGAAAAACAAAACATGTCTTTCTATTGATTGTATATGTTTATAATTTAAGCTGACTTTCTAAGCTGTACCACTCAGTTGTGTCCTTGGGAGGGCCTGAGTGGTACAGCTGGATCATGCTGAGTGGAATTGAGCATGATCCAGCTGGTCCCACAGACAGGATCATGCTCAGTCGGGCATGGTCAACATTCCATACTGACATAATAGGAACCTTTTCAAATATCACTCTTGGGCCATTCTTGTGAACAGGATACACTAAAGATGAGTAGATTCTGACCAGAATACTCTCTGGATAGTGCATTCATATACATTTACAGTGCTTCCAAACACTATTGTACTTTGCATCTCAGGAGCTATCAGTTGGCACTCTTTGCTAATCACTAATGTCCTGGAAAAACTGAAAGAATGGTTTGACAAATGGCTACTAGAGTTTAACTCAAGTAAATGTAAAGTAATGAAGCTAGGCAGAGGGAGCAGGTCAGACAAAAGGTACCAAATTGGAGACAAAGTGCTCCAAGAAATGGACAGAAAGTAAGTCCTAGGAGTTGATATTATCACATTGAAATCTTCTCCTGAAGCCCACATAAAAAGGATAACCTCAATTGCAAATGCAAGGTTGGCTAACATCAGAACTGTCTCTAAAAATTTGCGTGAGGAATCATTTAGAACCTTGTTATACCTCATATGTTAGTCCACCTGGAATATGCAACTCCAGCATGGAGTCTGTCTTGTCAATCACAAGACAAATTTGAAGAAGGTTCAAAAGTATGCCACTAGACTAACTCCAGAACTATGAGTTATGAGGAAACACTGCATGAATTGCACCTCATATCGCTGGAAGACGGAAGAGTTAGGGGAGACGTGATTACCACAGGTACAGTATATACAAAATGCTCAGGGGAATTGGCTGGGTAGATAAAGACATTATTTAACATGGGTGGTACTTTCACAAGGGGATACAGGTGAAAACTGAGTACCCAAATGAGTCACAAAGACATTAGAAAGAATATTTTCAGTGTCAGTATCAGTTACAGTGTATTGTAACAAATACAATACTTTAGGCAGTGATGTGGTGGAGGCAGACTCCATACAGTTTTAAATGTAGATGTGATACAGTCCAAGAGGCTCAGGAACCTGTACACCAGTTGATTGACAATTGAGAGGTGAAACCAAATAGCCAAAACTTAACTCTCAAAATACAACAAAAAATTAGGTGAGTACTAATTTGCCCTCCTGGCCACTACTCCTGACTGGCAGCAGGTTCCAGCACTTATACATAAAATGGGTTACTTGTACAGTATTTCAAACTTGCTCAGTGCCATGCTTTTGCTCATGGTCATATTAAATTCATTATTAGAAAAACTTTAAAGATTAGATTTACTCTTCAAACAATTGGCCACAGTAGCCTTGCCAACACTGCTGTTGGATGTCCTAGATGCATCTCGTTTAACTTTTCTAATTACTGTACTATATATAATCACAAATATCTTGTATTTGTGCTTCTTGTCAAAGCCATTTCCAAAGCATTTTCATTACAGTATTGCTAGTCAACATATTGATGGTATGTTTCATATTTGCTGCAATTAATCCAGTAATATGAGGAGAAACCATGTTGGCATGCCTGCACCACATAAAAACAATGTTAATTACATGTACAACACCGCAGGTACAAATTAAGATGACCATTCCACATTTCTAGGTGAACAACTGCAGAAACTAACCTCTCATGGTTGAGTTAAATATGTGAACAAAGAAAACATTACTTGGTCTATTACCTCCCCATTTATTCCAACTATATCCAGTTAATAAAGTAAATGGTTACTTGGGTTAAACTGCTACTGAAGTCGGTGGCTGGTAACAGATCAGTGACTACTGAAAAAATACAAAATATATACGTACACTACTATCATCGTGCTATATAGTCATATGAGCTTAGCACTGTTTCCTGATAATTAGCTCTACTATCCCTCACTAAGTTTCACACCCATACAGCTTGTGTAATCACTCATTAGGCAAACTTGACTATTCACTTTTTAAGTTTACACATTTCTAAGAAATCTGTAGATTATTGTTGCAGGTTTACCTTGTTGGTCCTTCAAATTGCAGGAAGTTTTTCTATGAGGATTTGATTTAATTTCTTTGAAATTTTATTTGTATTTGATCACTGTGCTGTGCCAACCTAGAAATCTTGTTCTGAGAGTTGCTTTTTTTTTTTATTACACTATTTTAATGTTTTTAATGTTTTCATCACTGTTTTTTTTAATGAAAAGGGTTGAGTTTGAAAACATTTTGACATTAACTTTACCTGAACATTTATAAAAACAACAAAAATTATGTCCTTAACAATTGCACTATGAAGTTTTGCCAAAAACAGGTGTGCACTGCAGAGGTTAATGCTCAATTTTTTTTCAGTGATGGTTTGGGATGACCTGAAAAAGAAGCATGTTATTGAACTAGAGTTTGCTTCTGAAGTTCGTGGTGTGCGATTGCGCCGCGATCGTATTGTAGTCATCTTAGACACCATGATCAAAGTTTACACATTTACATCTAACCCTCAGCAGCTTCATGTATTTGACACTGCAAATAACCCTAAAGGTAAACTTGTTCTGTTTGTGAGGGATACTCTATTCATATTTTTATGGCTCTACTGTAAGCAGCGTTCATGTGGGTTTGCTCGTGTGTGGCCTCTGCTACTGTAAGGTTTTGTCTGCCCAGGAACTACCGAAGACCACATTTGCCACAAAAATTGGGAATTCTTGTTCATTTAACATTCAGTTTTCTGGGATTTCACCCCCCCCCCCCCACCCATTATTGCTAGAGGAAGCAGTACAAAAAAAAGTAAGCCATTCCTTATTATGAGAGTATGTGACCGTGAGTCACATAATTAAATGAACTCTGTTGAATGTTCTTTGGGTTTAACAAAAAAATATATTGCACAGAAATATCAGAATTTTTTTTCATAACGTACAATATTAATCTTATTCATTTACATGGTAGGCAATAAATATTGCAATTATACAGCTGTTTGAAAGTACAGTGTGCTAATCAAATAATCATTTGGTATAAATTTATAATTGTGATACTTTTTCAATATGTAAATTTGTCATACATAATATATTCTAATAGGACATCTAATAAACAGGTACAGTATTTTAATTAATAGCTAATTAACAATTATCATGTTCTGTATAATTTTTAAATAAAATACATTTTTTTATTATTATGATTATTATTATTATTAATAGTAGTAGTAGTAGTATTATAATATGCAGATTTTTAAGTAGTATTTACTATTTTTCAGGGTTGTGTGTGCTGTGTCCCAATAGCAACAATTCACTGCTTGCCTTCCCTGGTCCCCGCGCTGGCCACGTGCTCATCATTGACCTTGCCAACACGGAAAAATCTCCACAGGATATTCTTGCTCATGACTCAACTCTTAGTTGTATTGGTGAGATTTTCTGAAATTTCAATATTAGATGCGTGCTGTTTGTCATTCTCTTGTGTAACTATCATTCCTCAAATTCACGTATATTCTTTATCTCATACCATTTATCTCTCATCTGTGTTCATTTGATTAAACTTCATAATGTTTTATAACTGTACTTGTCATAGTATGTTATTATACATTACATGAATATAAATAGAATGAGAGATTCTTGGAATGGAAAGGGGAATGGGACTGAGGAATGACACTAGCAAACAGAAGGGCACGGGCACAATTTATAAAATGAAGTTGGGTTTTCAAGATTATTTTATTTCATTTATATCTGTTCTAACACATCCTAACAACTCTCACCATAAAATAATTCCTCACAATTCTAACTCAAGAAATATGGACATTTGATTAGCTGAAGGTTTTATTTATGTTTGTATTTACTGTATTTTAGTTTTATTGACCCAAAAAAAAAACAAGCTATGGGCTCATATGAACAATACTTTTCTGAGCAGAATACTCGGTTTTTACTATGGCAAGGGAAGATCCTTCTTAACCTCTCATTAGGATTTGATGCAGCACTCAGGTGCAGACTTCTGCTCTTCTCATAGTTTGTAGTTAGAGGGTCTACATGCAGACTCCTGATCTTGTCGTGGGCTGTGGTTAAAGGGTCTATATGCAGATTGTGGCTCATGTAGTGGGCTATGGTTAGAGGGTTTAGTCTACATGTAGACTGCTCCTCTTGTAGTGGGCTGTGGCTGAAGGGTCAATACGCAGACTACTGCTCTTGTAGTAGACTGTGGTTAGAGGGCCTACACCCAGACAACTGCTCTTGTAGTAGTCTGTGGTTAGAGGGCCTACACCCAGACTACTGCTCTTGTAGTAGACTGTGGTTAGAGGGCCTACACCCAGACTACTGCTCTTGTAGTGGACTGTGGTTAGAGGGCCTACACCCAGACTACTGCTCTTGTAGTGGACTGTGGTTAGAGGGCCTACACACAGACAACTGCTCTTGTAGTAGTCTGTGGTTAGAGGGCCTACACCCAGACTACTGCTCTTGTAGTGGACAGTGGTTAGAGGGTCTACATGCAGACTATTACTTTTGTAGTGAACCTGGTTAGAAACCAGGCCATGGGGACATTGATTTTTGAACTATAGTGAATTTATTTTAATATTTAATTTAAATTCAAAGTACAGTACAGTATTCAGTTTGATTTGGGACAAATAGTATTTATAAATAAACATAACAAAAATAGTAATTTGTTTGTATGATCAAACGAAGTCATGATAGTCAGAGCAGGTTGGTGTTTTGTACCAACTCGGCAGGTAACTTTTAAATTGTCTTTGCTGGGATTTATTTTCTAGGCAACACCAGAGAATACTCTATCTTTCCCAGAATGGAGATGGAAAAAGTACATTATATGAACTTAAAAAGTTCTCCAGGCATAACTTAATATAATAACACCAAACTGCTCTCTGGATAATTATCAATCAGGAAGCCTGTTACGTTTATCAAGGACCTCCCCTCCCTCCCAGGATGCATCTCACAACAGCTGACTATCTCACAACAACCTATTTACTGCCAGGTGAATAGAGGCATTAGGTGACAGGAAACATGCCCAACTCTCTCCCACCCTGAGATGGAACTCGAGATCCTCGAGGATATAGATGTTAGATAGAGATGTATACACTGTGCTATAGGATCCATATTAATTAACCTCACACTTATTTGACACATGTGATTGCCAATCTATAACATGGAATTCTTCAACAAATTTTTTAAGAATTGTTTCTAGTCGAGTCAAAATATATACAAAAGATTCTTCTCAGCTTGTCTTAGTCTTGGTGGGCAAAAGGCTCACACATATAATGGTAATGAATAGACTTATTACATTTGTCATTACTTTCAGCCCTCAATCTCCCAGGGACAAGACTAGCCACAGCCTCGGAAAAAGGTACATTGATCAGAATTTTTGACACAGCTACAGGAACCCAGTTGAATGAGCTCCGCAGAGGTGCAAATGCAGCAACTATATATTGGTATGTTCATCTAGAATAATACAATTCCATAGGCTAACTTAATTAGAGATAAAGAGATCAGATGATCAATGGAAATGAAACTTGTTTACCTAGTTCACTGAAAGTGTGTAATTGTTTTAAGATGTCATGTAAGAATTTAATGAAGGTTTAAGAAAAGTAAGATAATCATAGCAATAAGCATGACCATGTTCCATACCACATGGTGTACACTGTTCTCGTACAATTTTCAAATTTTCTTGATTTTATTAATTTGCCTTCCCACATGACACTATGTGGGACGTAAATTTTGGACTCGAAACCTTATTTTGTAATAGAGTACTCAGATTCAGATTCTTTATTCAGGTAAAGGTACATCCATTGAGTTACATAATGATGGATTTAAAGATACAGATAGTACATACAATACCTAAAGCCACTAGTACACATAGCGTTTCGGGCAAGAAAAGACTCAAAAGACTTGCAAGTCTTTTGAGTATTAGAAAGTCAATTAGAAAATCTCAAAAGACTTTTATAATTGAAACAATTTTCAGTATGAAAGTGCCCTGGCACACTTTCATAATTGAAAAAAGAAATATTTAAAGAATGAATTTAAAAATTGTCACATCATTAAGAGGTAGAACATTGATGCCAGTTATTTTTAACATTGCAAGATGGTCCCGACCGACTGGTTGGGAACCAGTGATTTACACAAACATTTAACAACTGAGAATATTACGTATGCTCTACTTCATGAATATCTTGACAATGTTGAAGATTTTCATAATGCTGTGCATTGTGTCTCCATAAAGTATCAAATTATTTATTGTTGGTGTTACTGGTAATTGATGACCAAACCACACACCAGAAGATGAAGAGACAACAATGTTTCGGTCCTTCGTGGACCACTTATCAAATCGATTGTGGTCCGTTGACCAGGACGAACTGAAGACAACGACAGTCCAGTCGTCGTCTCTTCATCTTCTGGTGTGTTTTGGTCATCATATCTTCAGCCAACGTTATTGTGACTCATCGTCTACTTACTGGTACATAATTCTTGAGGATATTATCCACCTTAGTAGCGGTTAAAGCTCGGCATTGTGGCTGACAAGAGTTGGCTAAGAACTATGCAGTAGTTTGAAGCTGAGGAAGACCTTGTATACTTGGCTAAGAGATTACTTGAGAATGTTAAGAACAGCAAGAAAATTAAAAAGTCATAAGTAGGACACCAGAGAACAAAAAAATATGGAGACATGAGACTTACCAGCTAGGGTGAATTTTGAGAGTTAGTCAGATTATTTTAACAATGTGAATCTCTGGCAACAATTGAGAACTAAATATTTTATAAGACAAGGCAAAATAAATACTGTAGTACATGTTTTAATACTTGGGTTAGATATATAGTGAATATATATATTATATAGAGTGAATTACACTAGCAACAGGATACTCTCAGAGATTAATCAGTACTCTCAATCAACAGCATCAACTTCAGTCAAGATTCATCCCTACTGTGTGTTTCTAGTGACCACGGAACTGTGCACGTATTTGCTACTGAAGACGAGGACAAGAAGAACAAACAGTCAAGGTTGGTTGGTTTTGATTGTCTGTCTGTCTCTTTCAGTCTTAATTATGTTCTCTCTTAGTTTCTTCTTGCAGGAGATGGGCCACCGTTCCTGCCTCTTATTCCTTAATTGACTGATGTATAGATATTAGTCTGTTGAGCAGTCACTTCTTTATATTTTGCTTACACAAGCAAGATGTTTACGTGGTGTAAACAAGGGCATTTGTCTGAAAAATTTGATTTGATTCAAATAAAATTTGAGGGCAGTTGTCTGAACAAAAAAAAACTTTTTTGGTGATTATAAAAGAAAAGACACTACAGTTTTACATTTTATTTGGCTTTTGGTTAAAAACTAATTTTTTATTATTTTGGCTTCAACTTAATTGCATCTTTGCTGTGCCTGTAGACATACGTTAAACTCCTTCCTAATTACCTGATAATATATATATGTATGTAGAACTACTTGTAGTTCAGTTAGTTTTAAATCACAGTACAGTGGTACCTTGCATAATGATCGCCCCAAAAGGCGAACATTTTGGGTAACGACCGGCCCGATCGGCGACATATCGTCCCATATGGCCGTTTGAGTAACGTCAACACCACATGGTGGGGTCGCGCTGCTTCTTGCACATTCTTGGACACCTCTGACGATGCAAATAAATTGTGTTGTTCTTGTTTAAAGATGCTAATGATGCTGGGATATAAAGGGGTGACTGATGAGATGTTGCAAAGCATTGACGTTTTTGTAGAAAAAAAATGAAATTTCTGAATGTCAAATGTCAAAAAAGTTTGTTCGGTGTTCGGCAGGTAGGCTGCTCCATTATTGAGATGTAAATGAAAAATACAAAACATATGGAACACATTTGAAACAAAGAGAGATTGTTATAATGGAGCTGCCTACCTGTCAAACATTGAACGAATCTTTATGGCATGTGTCCATTTTTCAAATTGTTTCAACTTTTTTTTTATTTTTCGTTTTTTTTTTATGTAAGAAACATAGAGCAGCCTACTTCCCGACCACCGAACGAACCTTTTGCTATAAGACAAATGAAAAATAAATATTGAACAAATTTAAAGAAAGAAAAATGTCAAAGGTTTGTGAAGTGTATGTATGGTAGGCTTCTCCATTATTTAAAACATCAAGTATCATATTGATGTTTTTCGGTGGTAGAACAGATTAATTTGATTTCCATTAATGTCAATGGGGACATTCATTTTGTATGACGTCCATTTCACTTGACGACAATGGCGCCAGAACGGATTAAATTCGTTATTTGAGGCACCACTGTATTCACATGGATATTGAAGAAATAGGCAGTTGTAATTATAATTATCATAAGGAGTTTACGTGTAACATGTTTCTCTGGAAGGGTTTGACATGAAATTAACTTTGCATTTCTTTGAAAGTTAAAATAAATCTTTTTCTTTCAACAGCCTTGCATCAGCATCTTTCCTGCCTAAATACTTCAGTAGCAAGTGGAGTTTCTGTAAGTTTGAAGTACCAGGTGGATCTCAGTGTATATGTGCCTTTGGCCCTACCAGCAACTCTGTCATAGGTTAGTACCAAGATATGTATGACTATCTCAGTGTGCATGTGTCTTTCCTCTTACCAGCAACTGTCATAGGTTAAGTATCAAATCTTGATTCAGCAAATCTCTGGCCACATACGTACAATTGTTTTCGATAAATCAGCCCTGGTCAAGCCTCTATACAAAAATAAGTCATTTTTGGAAATAAATGAATTAATTTTTATGAAAATGATATAGAAACTTATAAAAAACAGATTCAAGTGATTGAATTAATCATTTAAATTGGATTAGTAAAATATTAAGTAACTATATCACTGATTAGCGCATGTCTTACAAGATCTTTTTAATAAAAGTTGGTTTAATTTTACCAACAAAGATTGGGTGAATACTCTAATATGTGAATTTTTAAATTATGTGCTCTTTGTTCCCCCACAGCAATATGTGCAGATGGAAGCTATTACAAGTTCACCTTCAGTAGCAAAGGTGAGTGTAACCGGGAAGTGTACGCACACTTTCTGGAGATGACAGATGACAGGACATAGTGCGCGCTGCACTCTACCGAGAATTACACGCTGTGTTATTTTCAAACAACACTTAATGGGAATTTGAACTTGTACTCTTTGTCAAAATTTTTGAGGTTGTTGCGATTTGGATGTTGCCATTTCGTGCGCTGGTTGATGTGATAGTCCACTGTTATGTAATTTATATGTCCAGTCTCTAATTCCATTTTTTAGAAAATGCTGTTTCTTTTCTGTAAATATTCAGTTAAGTTAGAGCGAAGCCCTTCATGAAGCCATTCTTTATTTTCCACTTATCTGTGACTCTTAAATAGTCAAGTTATACGAGTTTGGAAGCATTTCTGCTTTTATAATAGACTTCTTGAATACTATAAATTATTATACATTATTTATGCCAGATTTTTTTTTTTTTTTTTTTTTTTTTTTTTTTTTTTTTTTTTTAATGCCTGAAGAGTTTCTCTATAGGTTTTAATCCTATGACTGAAAAAATCATTTTGATTATTTTAAGTAATTAAATTTTTTATGTAAACTGAGGTATTTAAAGTGGTTTACTTGGTATCCATCCAGTTCGTGGAAGAGTAATGCAGAATGTCACAAATTAGGCTTTTAAGATATAATTTCTTTGAAATTGAGACTATCATCTTGTTTCTCCACTGTGTATATATTGTAGAAAGTAGCATAGATGAATTGTTATCAATGTGAGCAGATTCAAGACTCTTAGACTTAAAATCTTCCTTTTTCTAGTAATTTAATGTTCATTTTACAGTGATGAGGAGGATTTTTTGGGACAGTACCAATTAAAACTAGGAAACAAAAATTACAAGTAATAAATAAGTTTTCTTAAGACTTGATATATGTTTGGTGATGAGGTATTAGTTTCATTAGCTGTGTTTTTCAAACTGATTTTAAATTGAGGATTATGAGAACATTTTGGAGTGAATACAAAACATTGACCATTTTATTTTTCACCTATTAAATATAATATCAGTTGAAGAAACTTCTATTTTATTACTGTATTGTAATGCCTAGTATACTGTCTTGAGAAAAATTCATATAAATATGTGAAGAATTTGCTGTACCTAAATTATTTTTAGCCTTTACTGATTACCTATGTCATTATAATGTAATTTTATACGTATCGACAACTAATTTATACTAAATATAAATTTTCACGTTAGGTAAACAGTTGATTAGATATTTAAGGTATGTGTTGCATCAATTTGGTGTACAGTATATCACTAACTAGAAAAAGTTATAAAGAGTTCTGGTAACTGAGTTTACTGCAGTGTTTTTTCCTTAGCTGACCTCTCAGTGAAAAAGGAAGAAGCATCTTTCTTCATTACAAATGAATAATTATATTTTTGTTACAATATGAGGGATATTAACAAGTCAATTCTTTATATTTTTACTGTAATATGAAGAGCAGAGAGAGACGTACAGGGTACTTGCTATTTCCTGTTGCACATGGACACGCTGCTGGTTTAGTCTATAACCTCTCTCAAAGCATGCCATCCTTGGTTGTGATGTACGTAGTAGAATATTTGGTAATTGACAATTGATTGTTGTATAAGGTCAGGATTGTTTTAATGTTTGTGAAGTTGATGGCAACCGAAGCTGCTCTTGAGAATGGGGTTTTTGTCATACTAATGTAATGGTCCGACTTTGGTCACCAGTTGCTCACACAAGTGCTTCCTGCTTAAGTATCCCTGAATTATTTAATTGTGGCAACTTTTTGTTTCACCCTTGCAACATTCATTGCAAATTAAGTTGCCTCTAGATTCCAAAGACATTGTTTACACCTGCAGTATACTGATATTTTCTTAAAGAGTACTTACAGTTATTATATTATAATCAGTTTTATTTATATTCGTGTAGAAAAATGCATTTTTCTCTACAATAACCCTTCATTCTTTCATGATGCCATATGTGTGTGCTTATATATCATATACCAAGCCAACAAACTGTCAGAACCATGCTTCCATTACAGTAGCTCTTCGTGATGTCTAAATTGATTACTTACTTTGCTTTGCACATCTTACGTTTTACAAGTTTTCCGATCCTATTTGTTCTTTTACCTGCCAAAGACAATGTTGTTGGGTCTGTGATGAAGGTCTTCAAAGATGTGCATGATCAGGACTTTAGAATGATTATGCATTATGTCACCTTACCTCAAGTGAATACGAACCGAACTAATTGTATTGTACAATATCTTTTTCAAGTTATATTTTTTAATTTTTTTCAATACTACATGAATTAGTTTATATTTGTTATGGGTTGATGTAAATTTTAATTTATTATCGTGTTGTTTGTGGCTGTGCTTATATTTATGACCAATTACCATACAACCTTAGGATCGAGATCACACATTTGCAAAATCAACAAAATTTTAATTGAAAATTTAGAAGATAAAGAGTATGGCTAATCCTGTCCATTGTAGTTCGTTGAAAATTCAACTGATCCTACTATATTTGTGTGTAATATATACACACATTTCTACTTGCAAATATAGGTGCATATAATGTATATTAACCATGCATTTAAGATTTTTGCTTGACCTCCATCGTCTTTGGAAATCTTCGTGGGAAAAGTCAAAAGGATGTTCCTTCTGGCAGTAACAATTTCTATTGTATAGACCAGTGGTTTTTCAACCTGGGGTATGCATACCCAGGTAACCTAGCCTTTTAGACTAAAAAATTTAGGTTTGGTTCTCAACTTCGGGTTCCACTGACCCTGAGTTAAGAACGGCTGATCTTGACTCGCCCTACAGTGACACTTTGCAGCTTGCCACATTCTCTCCAAGTGTCCTTGAATAAAGTAAAAATGCACCTGTTACTGAATTCTATTTTCCCATCTGTCAATGAATACCTTTCTAACTCTTTGGCTATCATTTCCCTATATTTGTACCTGGTTTTTTTTATTTTGTTTTACTTTTACGTGCTAAAGTAAACTTCAGTTTTGCCCCACTTTCTTGCTGCTCACTTCAGGAGAGAGGCGACCACAGCATTTGTATGATGGCCAACCCTATCCATGAAACCCCATAAGAGGTGCTCATGATGATTGAAATATTTGGAGATGGTAGAGATGTTTTTGAAAGTCCTGGTCACTGTAGATGTTACTTCAAATGGGAGCAACACTTCAATATTGCAAGTGTGGACCCGCTCGATTTATTAATTAGAGTGGTATGGCTTGAATGCTATTCTGTAATAGTAGAATTGCCAAAACTTTCTGATTTTATACGAGATACACTGGTTTCAGTTAATCTGAGAACCCTTTCTCTCCTTTGATGTTTATTTTCTAAAATTTTGATACACTATAGCACCACTTTGTGATTTATCATTTTCAAAGTACATATTTTTACAAAATAAAATTGTCCCATTTGTTTGTTTATTTTGTATAATTTTCATGTAAACTCACTCATGCTCTCCTACTTGTACTCTTATCCTGGTGGCTATTTATTAGAGCTGTCTTGACTGTTTATATATCCTATGTCTTGGTATGAGAATGAGCGAGCTATATTGTCCTTATTTACTTTTGGAGGTCTTCTGTGTCTTTGTGATGCAAAGGGATTGAATAGAATATATAAATGGAGTGAGAAAACAAATTGTGTATTAGTATACCCATAAATATATAGCGAACAATATGTAGAGCTGAGAAAAACTACTAAAAAGGACAAAAAAAATGTTCATTCAATAGCTGGGTATTTCATCTTTAAAGCAGAGTTTATAATAAATACTATATGCTGTCCTGATCAAGTAACATAAAAATCATATGGTCTTATTGCCTAGGCTATATTATGGAATTGTAGTAAAATTATACTGTATCTGCAAACTTACTGTGTATTCATGTGTACAGATACTTTGTGGGTATTAGAGGCTTGCAGACATGTATCTGGCAGTGTGGCTAACATACAGAGGTGCAACTTATTAGATGGTATGAGCTGCTTAACACAAGTATTGATGTTTCTAATAGTAGATTCACTAGTTGTGTTTCTTCATATTTTAACTCGAATTTCACTTGGTGTCCTGTATTAACTCAGCTTAGAGAACATTTTTGATTTTCAAGTTCATATGATTTTCTTCTGTACATTGACATAATCAACTTGTATATTTTACTATGCAAGGTTTAATAGTCATTTGAAATTGCATTTGAAAACCAATAAATTCTGTCAATTTTTCCAGAATTGTTGGTTGGAGTATCTTAGGGGCCATTAATGTTTTCCAAGCATATCTTAAGTATTTTACATAATGTCAAATAACAAGCAACATGATGTACTATTTATTCTCTACCAATTTGGCCGAGGTATGAATGGAATGTTTATCTTCTTACTTAAACTTGTGTAATGGTAAATTACCAAATGGAGGGATTTTTGCACTTTTTTTGATAATTACTTACATTTATGATAAACAAAAAATTTCCATGTGGTAAGTGCTTGCTTATTTTTATTATGATCATTGTACTGTATGTGGTACTGTACTTATTTGTAGTTTTGTTTTAAGAATTTATTGAATGCAATTTATTCTAAAGTGGACTACTGGCTGGCCTTGCACACCCAAGAGTCACCTACTTTCTCTCAGTACCTTGATCAGATCTTGAGCAGTTTGCCTGCTGCTTAGTTAAGGCTAATATTTCACCTTCCATTGAACACTTTCTTAACCCTTAAATGCCTCGAGTAATTAAAGTTTTATGTTGTGAACATGACAAAAGTATAGTTCACAGAACTAAAATATAAAAAAAATTGCATTTAGCGATTCGAGCACAGGAGGAAATCGCATGTAGCAATTGTAGCCATTTAAGGGTTAATCTATTAACTGCCCAAATAGGATAGACTACAACTTGTATATTATACTGGTATATGATCACATTCCATCTGTTTAGATACAGCCACCATATTTATGTACAGTACTAGGTGAGTGACTTTCGATATTTTATGCTTACTCTAAAGGAATTGGTAGGACTCAGAACTGAAGTCAACACTAGTTGCTTCACAGAAATACGTTCTTGGAGACTATGTTTATTATCACATAACAGTTTTGGTGTTACAGTATACAGTTCTTGCTTTTTATTCATGGTTGGACTGCAGATAATTAGTTGTTGTGAGAGGAGTGCCAGTTTTTGTCAGCATGTTGTGCTCTCCCACTCGCTACAATTCTTACCTTTTACCAACATTTTGGATTGCGAATATTCTTACATCATTGTGCCTTCCAAGTTCTGCATTTCATTATATAAAGTATTGTATTTGTGGCTGGAAAGTGGAGAGAGTATTAGAAGTGTTCAGGCAGCTGTTTTATTGACAAATAGAATAAACATGTTGAACTTTTGGATATTTCTGGAATGTAACTTTTTCCCATATACTATACTGTACTATACTTTTATATAAGATTTGTACTGGGTTTTAGATTTAAATAGATTTTGCCAGAACACAACCCTCTCATGTATTGTTGGCCACTTGGTCACTAAAATCAAATGTCCTATCTTGAAGATTAATAATTTAGTAAGTATTTAATTAATCAAATATGTAGGATAATAAATCATGCAATATTTGATTGATAAAATATAAAAAAGAGACCCACGGACACAAAAGAAATTAACAAGTAAAACACCACCATTACCACAAGTCTAAATAAGCAACAAATGACCCATTCTTACCTGCATTTGCTTGTCATGCAGCAGTGTCTTTATTTGTTTCCTAGATCTTGCTAAATACGGTGTTGTTATCCTGCCTATTTTATTCACTATCATTTATTATTTAATTATGAATTTCCAAAGAGAGAGTTTTGGCACTATATATTTGAAAAGGGAATTTGGCACACAAGACATGCCTAATTTTGGTTCTCTACATTTGCTGTGATCAAACATGAAATTAGCTTTCAATTAATTCAGTGAAGTATAACAATATAAATGGTGATGAGAAGCAAACAAGCAAAGTGAAGTGCACATGCAAAACAAACAACACACACATACACGTACATGGGGGCCTCGCAGCTCAGTGAATATCACCCTGGGGTCGTAGTCCCAATGGACCAGGGTTCAGTTCCCAGCCAAGGCAGAAACAAATGGGCAGTTTCTTTCAACATGATGTCCCTGCTCGCCTAGCAGTAAATAGGTAACTGGGAGTTAGACAGCTGCTTTCTGGTGATGTGTGTGCATGCGTTAGAAATATATATGTACTGTAGTAAACATAATAGAGGAAAATACGTTGGTTAGAAAGGCAAGGTCCGAGAGCTAATAGCTCGATTCTGCAGACACAAATAGTAAATACATATATGCATTTATGGAATGGAAACCTGACCCCATACTGTCAGAACTGTATTACTCCACTTAGTCCTACATCTAGTTGACTGCCCCAGTTCTCATGATTGGAAACTTTGCTTCCACACTGTCCCTTTTCACCCAATGTCTCTTGATAAAATCCTCAGGGAATCTCCTTTGCCATAAACAATTGAATAAATTGGGTAAGTTTATAGATTCAGGAAAGACCTAGGTAAGTACAAGTTTGGAAATAGGGTTGTAGATTTGTAGAACAAATTACTGGGTAACGTAATAGATGTAAGATCGTTGGATCGTTTTGAGCATAAGTTAGACATATTTACGAATGAGTTTGGGGGATATAAATAGGAACTGGCATCCTGTGCAATATCTAGGAACCTTCAAATCATTTGTGACTGCAAAGGCCCATATAACCAATTCTGACTTGTGATGACCAAACCACACACCAGAAGATGAGGAGACGATGACGTTACAGTCCGTTATGGACCATTATCAAGTCGATTGTCCAGGACAGACCAAAAGTTATATTGATAATGGTTCAGAACGGACCAAAACGTCGTTGTCTCCTCGTCCTCTAGTGTGTGGTTTGGTCATCATATCTTCAGCCACGTTATTGTGACTCATCGTCTGCATTCTGACTTGTATCAATATTTAGATAATTACTTGCATACCTATCAAACTATAAAGGAGTGAGGTTTTGTACTTTATGCTCCCACCTAGTTATTGATGGCTCTGACACAGTAGTAGTTCTTTGATATATCTGACTCTTATGTGTCTAATTTCTATTTAAGTCCCCCTTGTTCTGGTGTTCTTAACTTTTAATGATGCTTCTTGTTAATTCCCCTTAGTATGTTAAATGTAATTATTATGTCCACTCATTCTTCCTCTTCTCCAGTTCCTGTATAGTGAGGTCCAGCTCCCTCATTCTTTATATTTTCAAGCCCTTCAGCTCAGGAACAAGCCTTTGGTTCTTTTCTAGTTTTGACTTGTTCTTTTCAAGTGAGGGGTTCCATGTCGAGGTGGCATGTTCAGGAGTGGGTCTTGCATATGTTGTGTATAGGGCCCAAAAGGTTGCACGAATGTTGGCCAGTGTGTATGTGTATGTACTGTATATATTTTTATATACATACATTCACTGCATATACTGCATACATAGTAGTGCCTTAGTAGCATGGTATTTACAGTACTGTACAGTATATGGATATACAGTATTGCATTCAAATATAAGATTCTTTAAGATAGGAAACGTTTAATGCTTTAATGAATTGGATTTACAGTACTGTAATGCAAATTTAGGCAGTCTTACTACACTCCTTTGAGTTGTCTCATCTTGCTTGTTGACAATGAAATGTCAACAAATGATTATCTGTTAAACAGATAATAAGTTTAAAATTAAAATGCAGGTAATGGAAGAAATTTTAAGGCATACTGTAACATTCTTTAACAGTGACTACAGCAGTCGAAGATTGACTTCACATGAATAAGTAGGATTGTAAAGAAGTAAGAACATGACTAACATACATCAAAGAAATGTAGACTGTATGTGTTCTACTCGGTATTACAGCTGTATTTTTTTTAGGTTACTGATAATACTGTATATGATTAAAGCAAGTAGAACAAAATTTGGTTTTAACAACTTGAACAAAATGAATAGCACAAAAGGTAATAGTCACCAATTAGAATCCTGAGCTGTAAATGTAAGTGAAGCAAGCAAATTAAATTTGACAAATGGTATTTTAATAAGCTTTGAAATAGCTTGCTCAATGTACTGATTATCCTTTGACTCCAGTACTGGGCCACAGGCTCAAGATTTAATAATAATGATCTAATCAAAACCTCAATACCAGCAGTTTGCAGTTCCTTATTTTATTTTAAGGAGATGCAGGAGGTATTGCCACTAATATAAGGTAAAATATAAGGTAAAACTGAATCCTATGGACTTCATATTATAGAAAGGAACATGTAGGACAAGTCTTCCAGTAGCGTGCAGATTAGTACATTGGGATTAGTTAGATGTGTATAAAGAAATTGTGAACAAAAGTTTCAAAATGTCTTAAGAAATCTTATGCAGAATTCTAAATCTTATTTGTGCTTGTGTGTTAAGATCCACACGTGGGTTAAAATGTAAACACTGTTGTTCTCTCTCAGTGATGGAAAGTAAATACAGTACATCCAAGGTTAATGAGACTAATGTTGTTACTCAACAGTCTGCATCTTATTGCAGTACTGTATTTATATTAGTATTTTCTGCTCTCAACACAGATGTGGAAACACCCCAAATGAAACATTTGCTTAAACTTACTGTTAATATAGATCTTGCCCCTTTTCTACTGTACTACTGAAGCCGTATGTGGGATTATGTAGCTCGTAAGTTTCTAAACTTTGATATTCCCAGCCTTTCAATACTGACAGTAGGAATGATTTAAAGGTAAATGAGTTGCTGTGTTTTTTAAAAAGAGTATTCCTTGGGTAATCTTGTCATTGAATGAGAAAAACTGTGACTGGCACCAGTGAAAGTGAAAGTAAAAAGATTACAGTATTTTGTCATGTATGTCTCGGGTTTGATAATGCTGGACCTGGCCTCTGAACACTATAATTATTTTAAGGTATATGGTGCAGGGTAATTTTTTAATGATCTAAATTGGGCTTTGCTGATGTCTGTATACAAGTACAGTAAAGCTATGTGTATTCATTAATACATACTGTATTACCTGGTTATACATTTTATTTTATTGTTATAAAAATATTTTATATGAAGTGTAACTGTTTTTCTTGATAGAATCATCCAGTTACCTCAGCTCCTCTCAAATGTTTATTTCATGTTTTCTTTCCATTTCCCTGTCAATTAGTGTAAATGTACTACTGTACAGTATTTATGAAAACCATTTAAATCTGACATTATTAAGGGTGGCAGGAGGAACCAGTTCTGCCCTCAGATTAGTAACCAGTAGCAAGATTCAGCATAAACAAAAAATTTTATCCATGTATTGTTGGATTTTCTGTGCCACCTGTGAGACATGATTATCAACAACTGTTTATCAATGCTCTCTTGTGCTTGGGCAGTTCACAATCTGCAGAACGTGCAGATTGTGAACTTCACACGTTCCAGCATAAATGTTGCTGTTTTGACTAGTGAAATTTAGCCCAAAACAATTTGCATTTGGTACTCTTTGTTAATAAAATACAATTTTTAGGGAATAGATACTATAGTTGTTAGGAAAGGATAAATAATTTGAATGATTAAGAGAGGTTGATATAATAAAGAATGTGCAGCATATTACTGTATATCCACACTGAAAGTTCAGTTTTTGTTTGTTTTTTAGACCCTTATTGTCCATGTCATTACATAATAATAATGATAATGATAATTTATTTGCAAGAAGGTACAATGGGTTAGTGAAATTACATAAGATTGGTATTTTTACATTCATACAAAGCCACTAACACGCATAGCATTTCGGGCAGAATTATATGGATTCTACTTGGTAGTTAATAATCATTCCCACTTTTCATACATTTTGACTAGTTAAAAGTTCAAGTATTTATACCCGTGGCCTCGGTTTTATAAAATCTTGAATCAAGGCTCCGTGAACCAGGACACAGTGGCTCACTGTGTCAAAGATTTGTTTGGTTATCCAAACAGTAGCACATTACATTGAGAAATGCTAAACAAAGTTTGATACATTGCTTCCGGATGTTTCATGTTCCTTCTTTTCAATAAGCAGCGTTTCAATTGTTTCATCTCGAACGTTCATAAGCAAGTAAATTGCAAGTATTACAGTACTGTAGTTAGAAATTTTAACCATTTATGCAAATGAATTAATTTATTTTATGCTGTATTGTTCAGCACAGTATTTCAGTTGTTTCTTCAAAAATCTTTCTTTAGTCACATTATCTTCCCAAAACTTTAATAGATTGCTTGTAGAAGTTTTTTATGAATGGTAATACTGTATTAGTTTAAATACCAAATGACAGTAAAGTCTATGTATTAATTCCCAAGTAGATTTTGTTAATTATAGTACTATATTTTTAATTTTAATATGCTTCTGGCAGCACTTGTAAATAAAAAATAACCATCCAGGATGAATCTGCTTCCTTTTGGTAGCCACACAAGCCCTATGATGACTGGAATTCCACACAACTTACACTTTCCTTATCATTGTCTGGTAAAAAAAAAAGACATTCATTTTCCCCGTGGTCAATCTTTCAAACTGTAGCAATTCAGTACAGAACTATTTATACATTAATTTATTCATGAATGAACTTCCAAGTTGTAAGTTATGTTTATTGTTTATGTATAATAAACATTAGGTGCTCCATGTATTGATTTAAAGAACAAAAAATATTATTGTTTTATGTGAAAATTACTGAAATGTATTTGTGATTATGAAAGAATCACTGTTGATGCTTGGCAACAGTGCGCTCTATGATTTTGACAGAATATTGATACTTTCAGAGTGGGAAATAACTAATCTATTTTGATATTTAATTATAATAATAATATTGCTAATGCAAGTGTACAGCATTTGTAAATACACTGTATATGATATTAGTATAGTTAATTAAAAAGTAAGTTATACTAGTTTTTATTTACCTGTTTACATTTACAAATTTTAGGTGATTTGTGTATTTCGTCACCGAATCTGATGCCTTTGACATCAATCACCTTGTGTCTTTCTGCTCTCATCTTGGCTAGGAAGTCTTTTATAATCTGCATCCTAAATGGTGCTATGTAGCCTTTCTGGCTTAGTGCTTCATTTTCATAACTGCTTGCTTGTGGGTTTTGATAGTGGCATATTTGTACCTAAAATAGTTAGGTTCAGAAATTAAGTTTTGCACATGAGTCCAATAGGGCACTTGAGATTTGAATGTTTAGTTGTTGTACGTGAGAATGGGATAATAACTTTGGCATCACTAGCACATATTAACTATCCATACACTGCATCCCTCTCTGCTCGACCTCTTGGCCCAGATACAATCAGTTATATTTTATTTAGCTTGGGAACAGTCCAGTAAATTCAAGTACAGTGAGAGCTGTGCCTGCAAAATATATACAGTATGCACTTCACCATAAGTGCTGCAGTATCCGTGATCAATACTCGCAGCATACAGCCACAGACTACCTCACTACAGACAAGATGAACCCTGCCGTCATTATAACTAGGGGCTATTTAGTAAGAATAATAAACTTTAGAAATGACGTGTGGCAACACATTCAAAATAAGTGTAGTGTGTCAGAGCCAATCAGAGCAAACATTCTCTGAATTTCATTCAGGAAAAAAAGAAGAGAGATCTCAGGTTCCAAGGGATACCTAGTGATGGTATCAAACTACAACAGGCAACCTGCCATACCCTGCCAGTGATCTCATTGAAGGAGCTAGCACAAGCCTGTCCATGGTGATAAATACTAATCAATTGCAAAATATACAGGAGAAAATGCCAACAAGTCAACAGATTACAGTCCCGTTTCGTACTCACTCTCAGGAGCTCCTCCATGAAGAGGTGGCAAAAGCAGAATTTTTTTCAGATGGTTCTTGTAACCCGAACCTTTCCCTCTTTATTTTTTCAAGCTCTAAATACTCCTTCCCACAATTGCATACTGTTCTGTTATCTTCCAAGATATTGGTCATCTGCCCTTATAATGTGATAACCTTTGTGTACTATTTCCTTAAACAATTCTCAAGTGTATTATTAATTTAACATACGTGTCCTGTCGCCCGTTCGGGATTATTCCCTCGCACCACTTCACTCCTACACTTCCTTATTACTACACCTATCCCACGTACACCAGCTACCCATCCCACGTACACCAGCTACCCATCCCACGTACACCAGCTACCCATCCCACGTACACCAGCTGCTTGCACACTGCTCTTAAGCACTCCTGTTTCTTTCCATACCAAAGTCTTATATGTTCGGGTTGAGAGTAAGATAGTATATATGTGCCCTTTCTTTTTCTTAACTCCCATATTAACATTACAGTACCTTTCAGTACAGTATTATGTTGTATCTTTCGGACGGTGGTGGATAGTGGCTGTGTCCATAACTAAACCTAGTTAAGGATCCTGAAGGTTAGTTTAGTTCATAATATAATTTATTATGCACCCTATATCCATCTTGTGGGCGGTAGTGGAAAGGGTTAGCAGCACATAATGGGCTCAGGGACAACCCCACAATTCATTTAGCTAAGCAAGTTACAATGTTGATGAGCTAGTTACAAAATTCAATACACATCGTCACATCAACAATGGATTCGAGATCAACAAATACAAATACAAATATTTATTCAGGAAAAGTACATACATACAAGGTGAGATACAAAAAAGTTGATGGATTTATAAATAGAGCTATATCTATAAATCTATCATTATGTTTGCAACTCATTTCCTATGTATTAGAAGATGAGTTACAAACCTGAATAAACATTTTGATTTTGATTTTTGATAATTGATATGCTTGTCTTGCACACCGCCCCCCCCCCTCTCCATTCAGTGGGCAGCGATGGACAGGCTACAATCACTTAGTTACTACCTACAGTTAGCAAATCGGGATATTTGGCTAAGATTTCTGGTAGCAGATAATTTTAATGAAATATTTACACATCTTTGAAACATTTGTTATATAATTGCTCTGAATTCAGTTATCTTTTCGCACTCCATCACATAGTGACGGAGGGTGTGCGAATAATTTTGTTGACACAGTTTACATTTGGTCAGATCTACATCAGCAAATAATGATAATTCCCAGAGATACTTATAACAGAGTCTAAACCGAGCAGTAGTAACATCTTCAAGCCTGCTGATTTTACTGGATGATCCATAGATGTATGGCTCCACTTGCCTCAGATCTACAAAAAAATTTTTTAAGTTCTTCGTGTACTATTGCTCTTTGACTGCTTATTGACAATCCAAAGTTATACTCAATTTCTCCCTTAAAGGCAGATTCTTTGGATAACTCATCAGTTCTATCATGCATTCGGAGGCCGACATGAGATGGAGTAAGGCCAGATATAGTCTCGTATCCCGCGTGTGCAAGATGTCAGAAAGGACGGATTTGTTATGAAGGTGACCGGAAGCCAGGCAGAGCAGTTCCAGCAGCTGCTGTAACACAAGAGATGGCTGAGCAACCAAGCGTGGTCTTAGATACCGAAGGATGTATGAGTGTTGTTTCAAACAGAAAAAAAACTGTTGTCAAAACAGAAGACGGCTAAACAAGAGCAGGATAATGGAGCCCTGAGACAAGTATACTGCGGAAGTAAGTACATTTTAATCATCATAGCTAATTAATTATACCAGTTTAGTTGAGTTCAATTGTGCATCCCATACTAATTGTGTGAATGGTAGATAGTGGAAGAGGTTACAGAGGTACAACATAATGGCGCAGCTAAGCTAGAGAGCTACAGCATTAAGGACCTAACAGCAGTGTTATGTGTACATCTATGTTAAGGCGGTGGGGAACCTGCGGCCTTTTATGGTGCTCAATGCTACCTTGAAAAGCAATTTGTTATTTGACCAGCTGTAAATTGACTATCGTAAAACCTTGTATATATGAACAATTGGAATATAATACTCAGTTTAAAACTTGCAATGGTTTAGACTTAAAAATCAAGAGCGTTTTCCCCAAACAATTTACAAAATGAATATAGCCATCCCGGCTTGGTGTCCTCTTGATATTTACTTACAAAATGAAAAAAAAGAAACCCCTTTCTGTCGTACTAAAAAAAAGTGTCAACTTTCTAATTGCCGTATTTATATTTACAAGTAAATATGGCCGGTATAGCACTCTTTCGATAAATTAAACATTTGACCTGTTTTATTATTTACTGAAAGAGTTTTTGACATACTGTATTTAAATATATGCAGCGGCAGTGCTCATAAATACAATGGGCGGCCTTAGGAAATTTTCGCTAAGTAAATAAAATGTCAGCATGACGAAATTAGGGGTCTAGTCACTATTTGTAAATAAACACCGTGACGACAGACCAATATGTGGATGATGCAATATGCATCTGCGGTCTCCACTAGTCGGTCACTGTTTCAAACATACGATGATGATAATGAAGATGATCGATTCATACATACATCATACATGCATGATCGAGGCTTCTTCAGGAAGGAAGAAAGCCAAGGTTTGCTTCGATGAGTTAGCAAGCCATAAGGGAGGTGGTTGTGCACGCTAGCCACCGCCCACTGATGACGAGTGGCGATGGGAAGCTTAACAACCCATACTTGTGACTTGCTGTTGCTCTTCTGTTAGTGTTAAATGTCACGTCACTGGAGATACACATTGACAGGCAGCTGCTCGCTCCACCTAGGAGACCAGAGCAACCAGGGTACTCGCCTAGTTGTGCTTGCGGGGGTTGAGCTCTAGCTCTTTGGTCATGGGAAGGTATGTAATAGGGTTTGAAACACGGTGACCGACTAATGCAGACCGAGCACACATTTACCCGAATTTACCCGGCCAATAAATATAGTGGCCTCGACTAGGACAGAAATCCGGCGGCTTGTCAAAAGGTCCCCCAATTGGTTCCTGAGGATTTTTTCAATTGTCTTGAGATTTATGGCTTTGGTGGGTAGTATAACCTTATGGGTGGAAAAATCATCACTTGTTTTATCCTACATTGTGGTACATGCATATATCTATGCGTCACTCGGTCAGTCAGGTTGAGGCTTTTGGGTCTAGCTAGTATCTTTATGGGTGACCGTGCTGGCAGCCTCGTTATTGACCCGAGATCCCCCATACAGCCTACAGCAAGCATCTCGTACCTTGACGATTCGGGTTAGAAGGAACAATTGAGCAACGGAAGATGGGTATGAGGTCCTCATGGGTGTTGGGGCCTCACAGGACGGGTATGGCTTTTCCCGGGAACGACTGTCTCGCATCACTGCTGATTTCATAACTGTAATAATGCAGTGCGTCAGTTTTTTTCACAACATTTCGGCAGTCAGCATATATGGTAAGGGGGGATCCTTAAGTAACTTCTGCCTCAAAATGTCTACGCTTTTGCTCAAAACCTGGGTCCGTCTTGCTTACAAATTCTCAAATAAGCGAAAACTGAGAGGACCACAGAGCAATGTTTGACCGAACTAATACACATAATTACAGACACAACCTATATTATCAATTTCATTGCACAAATTGATACATCCTCACAAGTCATGATGATGTTTTAGTTGACTAAATGTGAGTGAACATGCTTTGCATTTACGTATATGTAATTAGCTCATTAGTGCTGTAACTTGCTTAGCTAAATGAATTTTGGGGCTTCACCTCCTGAACCCATTATGTGCTGCTGTAATCTTTTCCACTACCACTCACACGATGGGTATGGGGTGAGTAACGAGGTTGTTGGTTCATGGAGTCATCGACTCACTGGGTAACGCAATAGAGGTAGGATTGTTTCAAGCGTAGGTTAGACATGAATGATACGTTTGTTACGAATGAGTATGAGGATATCAGAGCTACCTCGTATAGAACTTTTGCTGTTTTCATTATTCTTATGATCTTAAACTAATATAAATATATTCCCTGAGAGTCCATCATATTGGTTGTACGACTGAAAGTAGAATGAATAATGTT